TCATCGACTGCACCCGGCAGTCATCCAAGTCGAAGTTAGAGGATCTTGTTCCTGCCCGGGAGGCCGGGAGCTGGCCTTGTCCATGGATTGAAAAGAATTTAATGGGGGCCTATCTTAATGTGGATTTTGGGGCATATCTGAATGTGGATTTTGAAAGAAAACGGTCTAACTGATATCTTTTGCGTGAGTTTAGTTTACTCTATTAATTATAAAAATTAGATTTGTATATTTTGTAACTCCAATTTTGAAATTGATTTTGTCAGATATGGCATCAGGTTGAACTTTTGCGGTAGTTCAAAAAAGTCAATTAGACTTTATAAAAAGAATTTCACAAATATATTTTTTTAAATATTATCCAAATACTTTTTTTCTAGAATAAATATGAATTTTAAAAATACAAATACCTGATTCAATATTAGAAAATTTATTTTAACTCAAAAAAATATATAACTAGTTTCATATATTTTTTTTTCTAAAATCATGCTCTACCTTTTATCACGAGGATACACAGATTTAACTCAAGATTCAGCCACATAATCAAGCCGTGCCTACAACCTTGTTGTTGGTGAGGCGCATTGTTATTTATATGATAAAAATGAAAAAAGGATGGCAAAATTCAATAAGAAGTTAAGGACAGATGCAATCGGACGTGAAAAAAGAGGACCGTGAAAAAAAAGGAAGCCAATCGCATACCGTAAAGCAGACAAAAAAAAGGTAAATACAAAGAAACTTTTCACGCTAATAAGAAAACAAGAAAAGAAAATAAAAAGGCCCAAAATCCAAAACTCATCGTGGTTTCATATTATGATATAAGCTTTGACTCATTTCTATTTTTATCCTTTTCTATTTGAAGCAGTGTTCGTCTAAACGGATTAAACGGCCGTTTAAATGGTCAGTAAATGGTAAACGGTGGTAAACTGTTTTGTTTAGGGGGTAAACGGAAATTAAACAGTTGACCGTTTAAACGGTCAAAAAACAGGAAAAAACGGCCTAAACGGAACGGAGATAAACAATATTAAACAGGCTAAACAGCTGTTTAAACAGCCATTTAGGCGAACACGAGGTAAATCTAGTTCAGTTTTGTATGGATAAATTTGTATACTTAAGTTTATTATATTTATAAATATGTACACTTGATATGTTACATGCATAAATATCTTTATTTGGTACTTTTCACATGCATAAATATATATAAATGCTAGAATACTTGATTTTTTACATGCACATATATAATTATATGTATTTTTTAAAGTACAAAACCGTTTAGACCGTTTAACTCCGTTTAAATACCGTGTAAACAGCCTAAACGCTAAACGAAGGGTGATCGTGTAAAGACCGTTTACCGTTTACGAAAACATTGATTTGAAGTAGGATTCCTATTCAGATTGTTTAGGATCGAAGGGATCTATTTGGATTAGTATTCGTAGGTATCCATATTACCTTATTATCTAGAGAAAATTTCTTATTTGGCCCTGGTTTAAAGTTATCTTTATTCTTTGACCCTGAAACAAAATTTCTTACCTATTTGGCCTCACTCGAAGTTTCGCTTTCTAATCTGGCCTTACCGTCATCTCCCGCCTCTAACACTGTTAAGTGGCACATGAAAAGACCAAACTGCCCCCGAGATATTATGAGAAACCAAAAGTCACCCAAACGGCATAACAACATAATTTTGAGCACTTTGAATTCAATTTTCATAACACAAATTTTTTTGTTATGAAAATTGGATTCAAATTACTCAAAATTACGTTGTTATGCTGTCTGAGTGACCTTTGGTTTCTCATAATGTTTCAGGAGCAGTTTGGTCATTTCATGTGCCACTTAACGGTGTTAGAGGCGGGAGATGACGGTAAGACCAGATTGGAAAACAAAACTTCGAGTGAGACCAAATAGGTAAGAAATTTTGTTTCAGGGCCAAGGAAAAAAGACAACTTTAAACCAGGGCCAAATAAGAAATTACCCCTATTATCTATGTGCATATGTCATATATAACACAAGACATCTAGACAGTTTCCTTCGTAGAGTTAGTTAGAGAGGGCCGAACAAAAAATAGGTGAAGAGAAATTTTGTCTTTTTAATAATAGGTATAGATATACACATAAAAAGATTATAACGTCGTCATCTACCAGCCTGCACATGCATCCACGTCCAATACAAACCCTCCTCCAATTGGAGCTTACGCATCTGCGTCCTACCTAGTTCCGATATGAACAACAGAACCACGTGTCTGCGTCCGATACGATTTTTATTATTTTCTGCAAATCCGTTGTTGTAGGTGTCAATAAAAATTCTATGATCCCGGTGCAACACACGAGCATTATCTAGTAGATCGAAGAATCAGAGACATCGGATATCCTGCAATAAAATCCCATGGTAGTAAATCAATTGAAATTTAATGCCCGCTATATTCTCCTATGCACTCACGTGTGTAACGATTTTGTTTCTTGCCTCTTCTCTACATTAGCAATTGTATTTTTTTCATTTTCCTTTCTAAGTGCAATAAAATAAAATGGATTGTATTTAAGTTGATCTTCACCACAGAAAGTTGTGAACTTTTTAAAATCATATTTGTACTTATATTATTTTTTTATTAATATCTGTATCTCTATCTCTATCAGTAATTAGTCACTAAACCAAATTAATTTAAACCCAATAACCCTAAGGTAGTGTTGCTTTTTTTTTTAGTTTCTTGACGCAGCCCACAAGAATTACCATGCAAGCATTCACCGATTACCTACGTGTCTCCATTACAATGTTCCGATTCTATAAAGTCCACCATGCCTACTCGCCTTCCACTTGACAAACCAATACACCTGAGATTGGCATCGACCATCACTTAGCGGAGCGACATCGTCATTACTGATGGGACGATGCGGCGCTAGCCACGACAAGTCCCTTGAAGCTGCCACCTGTCAACTAATAAGTACTTCTTATTTGTTAATTTAACTTTTTTTTCTCTACGGACATGCCTTCTCAATTATCATTCTCATCTAGCTTCTCAACTCGAGTAATAGTTTGTGTTATTGCCTAGATAAATGCTCGTGCGTTGCATGGGGGTTAATTTTTTTTAGTGAACCTTAGTAATTGGACGTGAACTTGTGAGCTATAAGGACTTTTTAGTGGACGTGGACACGTAGTTTTTTTTGTGTTCGTATTGGAATTGGGTAGGATGCGAACGCGTAAACTTTGAAGACTTCGTATCGGACGCAGACACATATATTTGGTCTTCGCATGAGAACCGGATAGAACACGAACACGTGTCGAGTGAAGGATAAATAGTGATCTTGACATGATTCCTTGAAATCGATTAAATTCATTTTACAGTGCAACACCTGTGTTCATCACAGATATCTAAAGCCAAAGATCTAAGTCTCACAGTTTCATTATAATTATACGGGTGGTACAAACCTTCCTAGAGCACTATATGAGAATTATTCCTCCTTAGCCAAGTAGAAAAATGTCACGGATTCTGGTGAGGATCAAATAAGAATAACTTCTTCATTTACACTAAGCTAAGAGTTAAAAAAACTCACTCCAAATTGCTTTTTATTCAATCTCCACCTGAATCACTCCAGATTCATTCACACTTGCTCCCCATCCCGTCCCCACCAACATCACTCCATCAAAGAATCAGAGAGTTGTATTTAAGAATAAGAGTGGAGCTCGACCAAACATGCTCTAATTGCTCAACTGAACTCAAACCACACTCACAAGAATCTCAAATCCAAAGAAAGAGTGAGCAGAGAAGTTGAGAAAGCGAGAGAAGTGGCTATTGTCACGTGGTTGGTAAGAGAGTAACGAGCATAGAAAGGAGAGGGGTATACATATCCTCACTCTCTCACCTAGTCATTATTGCTGGTGGTGAGACGATAACTAAAAATTCCAGTTCACATGGAAATTTCCGACCTTAAGAAGATTAGCATATAGGAACAACACACACTACACATGAAACGCGACAATTATATAGCCTGTTCGCTTATTGGTTTCAGCCAAAGCTTATCAGCTAGCAAACAGTGTTTTCCTCTCACAACAAATCAGCACCAGCCGAACTTATCAGCCTAGAAACCAACCAACGAACAGGCTGATAGAAAATTCTGGTCTACATTGGATTTTTCGTTTAGGAAGAATCAATTCAACCTCAACTCTTAGTTCGGAAATTCCGTCAGAATTTCTAGCCCCGAAGCAATTAGCATACTAAGGCTATGTTCGCTTGAGCTTATCGGTCAGAATCAGTCCTACTTTTTAGCTATGAGAACAATGTTTTTCTCTCACAACAAATTAGCCATACAAATCAGCCGCAACAGCAATAAGTCCTGCCGAACAGGCCCTAAGGGGTGTGGCTCGAAGTAAATTCTATGGTGTCTATAATTTTATTAGACTTCTTTGAGTGCATGGACACCTGCAAATCACTTAGCAATGGCTTTCTTAATTATACGACATTCCTAAAGTCCATAGAAGATGAAATGAATGATAAAAAGATCAAACTTTATTCTTGTCAATCGTTGCCGGCCGCAGCGTTCATCCCTGGAAGTTTTTTTTATAAGACGAATCATTAATTGAAATACTTTATTAATCTTGTTAGTTCTCTATTTGCATTATCATTAATTCACGAAAACCTATGATAGGGTTAGATGCATTTTCAGCACTACCGTGGTTTAGATGACTTGTTCCAATAGAATAGATTCTGAAATTTATGTGTAATATGTTCTTTCAAAAGCAGATGTCGATGCCATAATTCTTGGCTTGACCAGTTTCTGTGATTATTTTTCTTTGACAACTTGAAAAAAAGAACTTTTGTGCCTTACCCTTTCCCTGCTTGGAGGAATGTGCTCGACACACCGGGTTCCACTCATCATGTCTTTGTTTAGTGCAAACGTAGCAGCACTATCAAGGGCAACGAAGGAGCCCTTCAAACATCCTGCAATCCCAGGGGACAAGCTGTGAATCTTGCGGATTCGCAGGAGAGAAAGAGCACAGCCCCTAGGAAGAAGCTGGGATCAATGGAGATGGCAGGCGCCGCAGGAACGAAAGCATGGTTGCCGTACGTCACCACGCTGGCGTCCTGCGCCGTCGGCGTCTTCTTCCTGCTCTACTTCTACGCGCCACACTGGGCGGTCAGGGGCGTGCCGGGGCCGCCGGCGTTGCCCTTCGTGGGGCACCTTCCGCTGCTCGCCCGCCACGGGCCTGACGTCTTCGGCCTCCTCGCCAAGAAATATGGCCCGGTCTTCAGGTGGTAAAAGGCCACAACGATTCGTCTGCTTCATCTTGCAAAATCGAGTGCTTTTTTTAGCACTTCTCCTAGATTTCAGTTTGTTTTCATCTGTTTGGAAGTAGCATTCGTGGGCGAATGAGGTTTATTTATCCATGGCTGCAGGTTCCATTTGGGGAGGCAGCCTCTGGTGATCGTCGCTGACCCGGAGCTCTGCAGGGAGGTTGGCGTCAGGCAGTTCAAGCTCATCCCCAACAGGAGCTTGCCGGCGCCGATCGCCGGCTCCCCTCTCCACCAGAAGGGGCTCTTCTTCACCAGGTGACTGTTAGTTCGTCTTCGTCTCTCCACCGTGACGCATTTGGAGCCATGAGCACGTGCCCCACATCTGTATCATCAAATCAATACTATAGCATTGCGATCTCATCAGGGATGAACGGTGGTCGGCGATGAGGAACACGATCATCTCGCTGTACCAGCCATCGCACCTCGCCGGCCTCGTCCCCACCATGCAGCACTGCATCGAGCGCGCCGCGGACGCCATACCGGCGGCGGGGGTCCAGCTGAACCGCGACGTCGACTTCTCCGACCTCTCGCTCAAGCTGGCCACAGACATCATCGGTCAGGCGGCGTTCGGCGTGGATTTCGGCCTCACGGCGAGCGGTTCCAGCGGCGAGGCCGCGGAGTTCATCAGGGAGCACGTCCACTCCACGACCTCCCTGAAGATGGACCTGTCCGCGCCGCTCTCCGTCGTGCTCGGCCTCGTCGCGCCCGCGCTGCAGGGCCCGGTGCGGCGGCTGCTGAGCCGTGTCCCGGCCTCCCGGGGACGGCCGACTGGAGGGTCGCGCGGACCAACGCGCGGCTCCGCGCGCGGGTGGACGAGATTGTGGCGGCGCGGGCGCGCGGGCGCAGCGGCCACCACGGCGAAGGGAGGAAGGACTTCCTGTCAGCGGTGCTCGACGCCCGGGACCGCAGCGCGGCGCTGCGGGAGCTGCTCACGCCGGACCACGTCAGCGCGCTCACCTACGAGCACCTCCTCGCCGGGTCGGCCACCACGGCGTTCACGCTCTCGTCCGCAGTGTACCTCGTCGCCGGCCACCCGGAGGTCGAGGCCAGGCTGCTGGCGGAGGTGGACGGCTTCGGGCCGCGCGGCGCCGTGCCGACCGCCGACGACCTGCAGCACCGGTTCCCCTACCTTGATCAGGCATGTGACATGACAACGCAGCGTCACGTGTAGGAGTAGGACGACGGGCGCGAACTTAAGCTTCCATTTGCATCTTTGCAGGTCATAAAGGAGGCCATGAGATTCTACACAGTGTCGCCACTGATCGCCAGGGTGACGTCTCGACAAACCGAGCTTGGAGGCCGCACGCTCCCAAAGGTACAGACTAACACATCTCACCACCAGGCGTTGGGCATTGGCATTGGCATGGTGTTCGTCCTGTTGACGCATGGTTCACCGCGGCCAGGGCACGTGGCTGTGGATGGCGCCGGGCGTGCTGTCCCGCGACGCCGCCAACTTTCCGGACCCCGGCGCGTTCCGGCCGGAGCGGTTCGACCTGGCGAGCGAGGAGCAGCGCGGGCGGCACCCGTGCGCACACATCCCCTTCGGCATCGGCCCGCGGGCGTGCGTGGGGCAGCGGTTCGCCCTGCAGGAGGTGAAGCTGTCCATGGTGCACCTTTACCAGCGTTTCCTCTTCCGGCAGTCGCCACGGATGGAGTCGCCGCCCGAGCTCCAGTTCGGGATCGTGCTCAACTTCAAGAACGGTGTCAAACTCGTCGCAGTCGAGCGGTGCGCTGCCATGCCGTAGCATCGTGTACGGACGGATGGCAAGGGATGGCCGCACTGCCTTGAGGGTGTAGTAGTAGTGATCACTTGGGCCGCGTTTAGTTCCGGCCGGATTCGGCGCCGCCGGAAACCCAGGGCACTGTAGCGGCACAGTAGCGCACCGTAGCATTCGTTTATATTCGGTAATAATTGTCCAATCGTTGACTAATTAGGCTCAAAACGTTCGTCTCGCAAAGTACAACTAAACTGTGCAATTAATTTTTGATTTCGTCAACATTTAGTACTCCATGCATGTACCGTAAATTTGATGTGACACGAAATCTTCTTTTTGCATAGTGCCAACTTCAGAAATTTGGGGAATTAAACATGGCCTTGGACAACTTGTTTCGTGGAAACTTTGGTGTAAACAGTGTTCCAGTGCTTCTCTGCCGCTACTGAAGACACGCCTAGGCGCCTAGCCATCTTGGATCTCGAGAAGAAGCATAATAAAATGTGACTGCAATATCGCTGGCCGTCCATACAACCAGGCGATCATGCCCCAGCATAGCCATGTAGCCGTGCTCAAAACTTCTTAGGCCAGAGTTTGGCAGCCGGAAAACGAAACGTCCACGTTCCCACGTCACAAAATATCGCTCTAAGTTCCCGTTTCTATTCCACATTTTCGTTTCCTTCCAGGAACATGACTGATAAGGGCCTGAGGTTTCCATCACAGCAAGAGAGTGACAGTGAGCAAGCTTAACACCAGAAGCATTTCATCGAACAATTCGTATGCATAAAGGAAACAAGTAGAGCAAGCTAACAAGTCACAGGCATTCCGCCGAACACATCATGCGCATGGCAGAAACTAGAGACCATGTAGCAGGCATTTCACCGAACGCCTCGGCTGCACGAACAGAACAAGGGGAAAGACGCTGACATGCAACAAGCAAGTGGGCAAATACGCACGAACCGCGAACGAGCCAGTGGCTCAGTGGTAGTACTCGCAGTGGCGAGTCTGGTGTCGCATGGGGTATTTTCCCATATTTGTTTTGTATAAGTTCTGGACAATCGCGTGGTGCTACAATAGAACTACGACATGTCTGTCGTCTACGAGGCTCATGTGGCTTCGATGATCTCCAGAAAGACATTTGAGGTGTATAGGTTTTAGCTTCTAGAGGTGTACGTATACGGTGGTGTGAGTATATTATATAGAGTACAGATACTACAACTTATACGCTAGGAGTCCAGGAAGAAAAAAACACCGTACATTTCATCAAACACCTCGTGTGCGTGAAAAAGTAAAGGATCAGACTTTGGCTCGATTTTCTTACTCATCATTCATCAATTCCTTCAACGATTAACAAAACGGTAGCAGCGCATCCCAAATCACTAAGATAACTAGATAAGAGGCTTACATGGCACATACTTAACCCGATACTAAGAACTAGAAAAACCTACAGCCTGTTCGGCTAGGGCTGAAACGATCGTATACGATCGTGGATTATTACTGCTGGCTGATTTGGTGTGAGAGAAAAATACTGTTCTGACTAGAAATTTACGATCGTTTACGACCAAGCGAACAGGCTGCTAGACTGAAAGATCATGAACCCCCAAGATTAATTCTCAACTAGCATCCCGATCGATCTCACCCGCCTTGACAAGACCCTCTCTTTCAACGACCAAATAGCAGGATCGCCAACTTGGCGCTCACGACCCACCCTTCTAGAGCAGCCAAGGAGTAGTCAGCCCACAAGGGGATCAACAGGCGGTGGCGGGCGGGCCACTCCTCCACCACCGCGGCGCGTAGGTGGTCGCGCTCGCGCATGATGCGCCTCTCCTCCTCCGCCAGCATCTGGGCGCACACCTTCCGCTGGACCAGCGCTGCCACCCACGCCTTCTCGCTCTCGGCCAGCCAATCCCTCTCGGGCTCCCTGGCGGTGGCGGTGGCGGCCTTGGTGGTGGTGGTGGCGACGCCGCGGCGGCTGCTGATGCCCACCGCGCGCCGAGTGGCCGAGCGCAGCGCGGACTACATCTTGTTGCACGCTCTTTCTCTCCTCTCTTTCTCGCTCGCTCGCGTGGGCGTGGTCTCTCTCTTTGGTCAAAATGCTTTTTCCTTGTGGCGAACAGTGGCAGAACAAGTAAAATTAGCCAGCAAAAGTCCAATGCCTTCTGTTAGCAGAAGCACTACCTTCGATCCCAGAAGTACAAAAAGAGAAAAAATCCAGTTACTAACAAAACAGAGACACAAATTTCAAAACGTTTCGATATAAAAGGTGATGTGCATTATAACTATAAAGCTCACAAAGCATTGGTCTTAACCTAACCAACTTCAGTAACAAGCAAATACCTTGAGATGATGGTCCCGTTCGCGTGTCCTTAAATTCGGCTTGATCTGTTTCTTTTTTTTTTCAGCCGGAACAGTGTTTTCCTCTCACAAATTCCTCCAAATTCATTCAGATTCCTCCAAATTCCTCCCAGCGAACGGGGCTGATAATGTGGCTCTATTTTGCAGAAAGTGGACAGCTCCAACTCAATATCATCGACGTGGGTATGACTAACTGAAATTCTTAGCTAAAAACAGTGACTGATCTAAATTCATAGAACAGTGACTCTACTGCTGCCTGGTGCGCTAGTGCTTCCAGAAATGCCTAGCAAATAGGACTATGCCACCAGACTACTGCGGCTGTTTTCACCCATGTACGAAGTGGTTGCTACTTGTTGGAAACCGATAAAAAAACTCAGAAAAAATCAACAAAAAAATCAGGAAAAATAATAAACATTAGTAGTAATCATCAAATCAGAAAAAATATAAAAAAATATTTTTAAAATAAACTTACTGGAAGACCATTTAAAATTTTAAAATCAGTACTATCTAGTATGAACATCACATGAACATGAAGGGCTCAAGGAAAAATGAATCCCCTCCATACATACACATCGAAATCCGAGGAACACTCTTTTTCTAGGCGTGGATGCATCCACATACGTTGCTAGAACTAATCATATCTCAATTCATTTTCATACAAACTACGGTGACCAAGCTCAAAGCAAAATCAGGAAAAATAGAGTGGCATGGTCTGACCTGGCTGTAGAACAGTGAGGGTAGAGTTGTTGTTCACAGACAATCTGTCGGTGCAGAAAGTGACCAACATGTAAATATTTGTAGTTTTGCTGTACGTTGTGATCGGATGTGGCCTAACATTCAATGACACAGGGTTTATACTGGTTCAGGCAACGTGCTCTACGTACAGTTTGAGTCGGTCGGTGACTTTATTCCTGAGTCTAGGTGCTCGAAGTTTGCTATGGGGTTACAAACGAGAGGGAGAAAGATGGGGATATCAGAGGTCCGGTCGGACTCTGGACCGAAGAGCCGAGAGCGACGGGAGCTCCGACGTGCGCTAAGTGTTCGAACGTCTGTTGTTCGTTGGAATCGTTGATGGTCGTTTGACTTGTTCGTGAATCGATCCTGGTGGTCCAATCGTCCGTCTCTTTTTAGGAGAGAGCACATCCCTTTTATAGATGAAGGGGACGTCTTTTACAAAAGAAAGAGTGTGTGTGCTACCTAGTCTTGTTGCCCACGCCGTTGGGTACAAGGCGGTTTATCGACGCCCATAACACTGTTGGTGTTTGGATGCATGTGGTTAGTTCCACCGTTTTCTTCTGGTATGACAGATATCGGCGTCTACCATACTGTAGGATAAATATCGGCGCCCATAACATTGTTCGTGTTCTGACATGTCTGGAAGGTTGCGGTGCATCCTTCTGACACGGCCTGACAGTACTGTCCTACAGGTGTGCAGGGTACGGCCCTTGATATTGCGGTTGACCGGAGCGCCCTGCCTTACTTGCTCTGTCCGTTTTCTGGGTCTTCACCGAGCGGGCGTCCCCGGTCGGTCGTTCCTCAGTTAGCTCCGGCCTCCTAGTCAAAGAAGAGCTGTAAGCAGAGGTTCGATATACTCCCGGTTGGAGAGACGAGTCGGAGTCGGAAGCGAGCGTCGTTCCTCCTTGGCCAGGCCTTTCGGTCAGAGAGATGGGCCAGAGTCGGAAGCAAGCGCCGGAGTCGGAGGCGAGCTGGCTAGGCCTTCGAGTCGGAGAGGCGGGCCAGAGTCGGAGGCGAGCTGGCCAGGCCTTCTAGTCGGAGAGGCGGGCCAGAGTCGGAGGTGAGCGTCGATCCTCCTTGGCTAGGCCTTCCAATCGGAGAGGCGGGCCAGAGTCAGAAGCGAGCGTCGGAGTCGAAGACGAGCTGGCTAGGCCTTCCAGTCGAAGAGGCGGGTCGGAGTCGGAAGCGAGCGCCGTTCCTCTTTGACCAGGCCTTCCGGTCGGAGACTGGATCGCCCCTGGCCCGTCGTTAGTTTTTTTGGGCCGGCCCAGGAGCTACGTGTCGTTCGCAACGTCGTCTGCTGGGCCAAGCTTTTGCTGGGAAGCAGGTCCATGAGGGACCCCGAGTTTATGAACCCGACAGGAGCCCCCGAGCCCCCGGGCGATTCGGGTAGAATTATCTAGGGGATTTTTGTTTTGACGGCGGGTGCGCGCGAGCGCACCCGCGGGTGTCGCCCCCGAGCCCCCGGGTGATTCGGGTAGAATCGTCCAGGGGGGTTTCGTGTTGCCAGCGGAGGAATTTTTCATTTCGACAGTGGGTGCGCGCGAGCACACCTGCAGGTGTAGCCCCTGAGCTCCCGGACGATTCAGGCAGAATCGCCTAGGGGTTTTTTCAGCGGGCGTGTGTGTGCACCTTGGTGGCCGTAGCTTCCTCTTTCTGGTTTCTGACCCATCGTTTCCAAGAGCGCGGTCCTAGGCATCTAGTCGTGGCCAAGGGACTGGGCGAGATGGAGTCGTCAACCAGGGTGTCGGGCGCGCTGAGGGTTCGGGCGAGTCAGAGTCGCGGATCCAGGGATCGGGCAAGTCGGAGTCGCTAACCAAGGCATCGGGCATGCCAAGGGATCGAACGAGACAGACTCACGGATCCAGGTGTCGAGCGCAGCCGAGGGATCGGGTGAATCGGAGTCGTGGATCTAGGCGTCGGACAAGCCGAGGGATCGGGTG